TTCTTGCTCTCTTCCCTCCCTCCCTTCCCTCTGCTCCTTCTCTCTTTCCCCTCCTTTCCTTCCTCCCTCCTCTTGTTTTCCCTCCTCCCCTCCCTCCTTTCTCTTCATCCCTCTCACCCTCCCTCCTTCCCTCCTTTCCCTCTGCTCCCTTCCTTTCGTCCATCCTTTCCCTCTGCTCCCTTCCTCTCTTCCCTCCTTTCCCTCTGCTCCTTTCCTCTCTTCCCTTCTTTTCCTTCCTCCATCCTTCCGCTCTACCTCCCTTCCCTCTTTCTCCCCTCCTTCCTCCTTCCCTCCCTCTATTGTCTCCTCCCTTCCCACTTCCCTTCCCATCCCTTCTGTTGCCGGCTAACTACCCGGAGGGTGATAGGAGCAGCCCCCCGGTCGGAGGCCGCCGTTAGATGGCTCCAGTCTATTCATGGAAGCTGCATGTACTGGTAGTCACCTCCAGCGTCCCTGTGACAAATTATAATGCCTCCCTTCCTTTCTAGTTTGTTCAACCTTTCCGTGCTCTCTACCAACTGAGCTGACCTTTCTCTCACCCACTGTCCTTGCCACTCCCACAGCACTCTATCAAATGGCTACCTACTTATCGTAGTTCAAGCCTGTGACTGCCTGTTCACTGCGACATATGCTGATGTTCTACCTTTGCAATGTGAGCATGCTCTACATGCTTTCTGGCCTCTGCTGACCCACCAACGCCCGAATCAAAATGCTCTTACCTCGTATACCAGTAAAGGGCTCAACTCAGGCTCCGGTGAACTGATGGCTTAACCATTTGCGCATGTTAACCACGTGTCCTGGTGCTCTGTAGCAATTTTCACAGACACCTGGTCCATGCTCTATAGTCAGGGGATGCAAGGACATTAGATCTTCCACTCAGACAAGCCAGACCAAATGTGATGTTGGTCTGTGGTAATGTTCTTTTTTTTTTTTTTTTTTTTTTTTTTTTTTTTTTTTAATACAAAATAACACCCACTCTGTGGTAGTGTTTTCACATAAGCCTGGTCCACAACATGGACCGTGTCGAAACCACGTTCAGTCTCTGTAGGCAGAGGATGGCAGCACGCTTGCACTTCCCCTGACACTGAGACTGCATGCGCACCACTGCATGCTGGGCACAAATGTATATATTTATCACTGGGTGGCAGCCCGTATGCGAACGCAGGGCGTACGCGTACGTACCCAGAATCGTGCGTACGCATACGTTAATTTTTTTAAGAAAATCTGAAAAAAGGTATGTTGTGCACAATAAGAATACAAACAACTTTTGCCCGGGAGTCATCCCCGAATTCAAAACCAAGCTCAATCAAAAAATCAAAAACCTTGGAAAGAAGGTGGCGGTTGGGCGGCGGAGCAGCGTTAGCTCCCGGTGCCAGAGCCTGCTGTTGGCGTGGCAGGAACTCAGCGGGGAGATGGGGCGCGTGGGCGCAGGTGGGACTTGAGTTTCACAGGGACCATTGCTTGGTCCCTGGCTATGGCTGATCCCGGTCAACGTTGGCACGTTGGCAACCCCCTTTCAGTCGACTTGGGTACGTGGTCGAGGTGTGGGGACGGCCGACAAGCGGGATCTGATCGCCGCAAAATACCAGTTACGAAAATCGATCAGGGGTTTGGTAAACCCCTGGTCTTAGATATGCGACTCTATAGGATGATGGATTTCGCTTGCATAGTGGGCTTCTGCTTGTCACCCGCGGCTTCCTGGGCCGCTTTGCTGAAGCTTTGTGAGATATCGACCTGTTTCCGTTGGATTGTATGCTGTTTCGGAGCGCTTGGCCACTCTGTTGCAGGAGCTCTTTCTTCCTTTTGTGGGGCGCGTGTAGCAGCGTTTTGGTGCTTCGCTTGCTGCCTCGTTGTGGTTCTGCTCTCTGTGCTGAAAGAGAGTGGGCACGTTTCATACAAACATATGGCTTGGGAGGATCGTGCTTCTGCTTTTTATGTTGAAAGAGAGCGGGTGCATGATACGGGTCGTGGAAAGTTGTCGTTCACTCTCTGTGTACGAAGAGAGTGAGTCCTCGATGTTGTTCTGCTCATATGTGATGGTTTGACGGACGGACTCTGCTTGCCAGGTGTTTCAATACTCTAGGGTAACTTGGCCTAGCCTTTGGTATTTGTGGCTCTTGGGTTTTGGTCCATTATGTGGGTTGAGATCGTTTTCATTGCCTCACCGCTTTAGGCAAGGGGGTTTGTTTTTTAGTATTTTTGTATTTTTGTCGTGCGGTCCGTTCGTTTGCGTTTTTTTGGATTTGTTGGGATCGTGGTCAGAGCCTATGAACCGGACTAAAGGACGACCCCTTATGTGTATATACTATATATGTTTGTGTGTGTGTGTGTGTGTGTGTGTGTGTGTGTGTGTGTGTGTGTGTGTAGAATGCCAGCACGATGGAGAACGATACCTCCGCAGTTCATTATATGTGTGTGTGTGTGTGTGTGTGTGTAGACTGCCAGCACGATGGAGAACAATACCTCCTCAGTTCATTATACATTTCAATTTGAAAATATGCAAGGCAGATCAACCTCCACACCACATTAACTTGTCCATCCCATAGAGGTTAACAGAGGCTACCTCGTCGCTGTTGGGGGCCAGCACTACTATACAGGTCAGTCAAGCTGTGACGTTGACACGGACCTCCAACTTGAAGATGGTCTAATGCATTTGGCTTAGCATTGGTGCAAAAACATATATATGCCTGCATGAACATCTGCATATGGCTGCTTTTTTTTCCTTCTTCTTCTTTTTTAATCCTGAAGGAGCTGGCTGTAGTTACTGATATAATCCAGAACCTCCTGTTTGCACTACAGTTACTCTCTAATTACCTGAGGTAAAAATGCTGATGCTGTCATATTTTTAGTTGACATCATATTCCGCAGGTCGTCGTTTGATGTCAAAAACTTCTTCTTTCTTCTTTCTTCTCTTCTTCTTCTTCTTCTTCTTCTTCTCTTCTTCTTTTTTCTTCCTCCTTCTTTTTTCTTCCTCCTCCTTCTTCTCCTTCTTCTTTTCAGAAAAGCACTAGTTGTATTAGAATCCAGAAAGCGGGCCCAGAGTCCCTTAAAAATGTCACCCACCCACCCCGCGTCCCTCCGTTGCAGGCAAATGCACATCAAGATGAGGGCATCGCTTGCTTGAAATTTGCTTCCTTCGGAAGGATTCACCCCTTTTTTACCCCTGTTGTCAGACCTCTACCTTTGGAAGGATTCACCCCTTTTTCACCCCTGTTGTCAGACCTCTACCTCACTACCGGCAGTGCAGAGCCTTTTAGCTGCCTCCTTGTCCAGCTCCTCTCAAGCCAGAAAGGCTGCCGGTAAGACAATATTACCCAGCCGGTTTCCAGCCGGTGTTTACGGGATGCTGGACCCGGTTTCTAGCCGGTGCTGCTCCCCAGCGACAGATCGAAGCCGTCTATAACAAAGGAGCCTACTACTGGAGGATGTTAATACCACCCCCAGTAGTAGACCGCTTCTGGATGTTTTAGGGGTTGGGGGGGGGGAACTGTTGTTCAGACCGGCAAAGTGAGGACGAAGCCTGATCATCGTTTCTACCACTCAGAATCTAGAGTAAGAGTCTAAGACCCTTGCATGCTTTTTTTTTTTTTTTTTTTTTTTTTTTTTCCCCAACAACCCCTGCAGTGCTAGTGCCACTGATGAGAGCAGACAGCACTAGCACCCGGGAAGAGGCTCCATCTATAATGGTGGGGAGCATCACCTGGGGGAAAACGGGTCCAGCGTCCCATATACACAGAACGAATCAGGAACATAACAAGGGAATAACTGAGGAAGACACCTGCCAGCATTGATTACTCTGTCTTCCAGAGGATTGACTGTGAGGGTTGTTGGGAACAGGAGATACCTCTTCGTCCTGTACCAGGCGCCAAATACCTGCTTTTGAAAGACTAGTTGCTCTCTTTCCCATCTGTGAAAATGTCCGCCTTTCTCTCCCCTCGCAGACCCAACCCTTTCCCCCCCCCCCCCCCCC